GATGGATGGATGGATGGATAACAACTTTGAGTAAAATAGGAGTAACGACTTTCTACTTCTTACGTTTTTAAAAAAATTGTAGTGAGTAGAAAGTACAGATAATTGTGTAAAAATGTAATGAGTAAAAGTAAAAAGTACGCTGAAAAATAAATACTCAAGTAAAGTACAGATAACCAAAATTTCTACTTAAGTACAGTAACAAAGTATTTGTACTTAGTTACTTTACAACTCTGTTTAAAATCTACATTTTGATCCCTGGATCATTCTGATATCAGTGGGTCCAGAGATTTGACCTAATTTGTCTTGTTGGTTTTGATAATACATTAATATTTGGGCTGAATCCTAATTTTATATAAAATTATTGGGTAATTTTAATTTAAAGAGGAAACCTCAAATAGTATTTGTATTTTAAGATTTCCCAGCTGGAAAGAAACAAAAACATTGTCAGCTCACAGGGAAAATTTCTAAAATTTAAGGCGTTTTTCCTCAAAATCTGTTTTTTTTTTTTTTTTGTTGCTACTGTTGAAAAAAATGCTTAAATTTTTTTAGGGTTATATTTCAGACAGTTCCTTCAAATGATACATTGAGGCATTAGTTCATTATATTTTTACAAAATGCAATTTTTGCAGATGTTTAAATCAAAACCTTTTATCTGCCCATTTCTCCACGTTTGGATTCAATCCTCGTTTCGATGTGACGGGTCAAACATAAAAACAGTCCTGCTCTGCGTTCAGCGGCGGGCGACACTGACACGTGTCGTCCCTCCTTCTAAGCACAGAGAAATCCTTCATAAAACAACCTGTGTTTATTTAACCACTGAAGTATTTTGAAGAACTGCCTCCGTGTGGATCAGACATGTTTTTTTTTTTTCCTTTGGCAGAGACACCGGAGGAGCGCAGCCAAAAACCATGAAGTGACTTTTGTCAGCTGCTCTGGTTTCCAGTGTGCCTGGTGCCACGTTTATTCCACAATACATATCAAAAAAATGTGGGGAAACGCCACAAAACACACAGGTATGCACACACAGACACACACGCAGCATTGTTACTCGGTGTGTTTAACTCACCGCACGCCCTGACAAGGTAAACACTCCCCACAGATACTGAAGAGGCAACAATGGGCTTGTTGTTGGCCCCGACCGATGAGCTCGCTTCACTTCTTCTGTTACACAAACCACAGGTAAACAAACCAGCAGGGCCACCGGGGGGGCTAC